ATTTTGATGAGTTGTGTCGTCGATGAGCTTTGTCGTTGATGAGTTGGTTCGTTGATGACCTGCATTAGTGATGATTAAACTCAGTGATCAGTTGGGTCCTTGACCAGTTGTGAGGATGATAAATTGGCTGTGGATGAAGTTGGTAAGTTGGTGAATCGAACCTCTCTGATAAGTTCGATTGTTGGGTCGTTGGTGATATGGGTGTTGATAAAATTAGTACGTTGATGATATGGGTCGGTGATGATTTGTCTTGTCGCTGAATTGAGTGTTGATGTAATAAAAATTAGGTTAGTTGAATGTGGGATGGTTGATGAAATAGAGGTGGTTGATTTGATAGAGGTGGTTTATGAGATGAGTATTGATGAAATGTATAGGTTGATGACTGGTTGTTGATCAGTAGAGTCGTTAACAAGTTAGGTGTTGACGAAATATGGGTGTTGATGAGATGGATCGTTGATGAGATGGATCGTTGATGAGATGGATCGTTGATGAGATGGATCGATGCTGACTTGGGTGTTGATGAAGTGGACGCCCTGATGATTTGAGTCGTTAAAGAATTGGGTCGTTGATGAGATGACCATTGATAGCATGGGAATTGACAAGTTGTCCGTTGATGAGCTGGGTCGATCTGATTTCTCTACCTCACCAGTACTGAGTAGAGACTATTACTATTTTCATGTGTCATCATGTGCAATGATGGAACGACAAAGCTGACTGAGTGAATTCTGAAAAAAATACGTTTGGATAATGAAAAAATTATTGAATATTTGTATAAGTACCCCAATATCTACCTATAAAAATCAAGTACTCCTGTTGTGTATTAAGTCATTGATAAACTGTGGAATGGGTAGTAGTAGTAGTATTTATACTTAGTTGTATGTACATACCAACTGACTATTAACCTCACGACAGGTCCTTCAGCCATTGTGTGTGTTTGTTACTAACTCCATACGCTACCTCAAGAGCAGCACGAATAATTTGAACGCAACAACGAATCCTGCGGAATCAGCTCCGGCCGAGGCTACGAAAATTGGAATTTTTTAACTCGTTTTATGAATAAAAATTATCTGCTCTGTCGGGCATCGAACCTAGCAACCTCTGTGGAATGAATATCTACTATATTATGGAATTCTCATGTCATGCACTGTGTTTGTCGCCAAACTCTTCCGAAACGGCCTGACCGATTCTCATGAACATTTTTGGGCATATCTGATAGGTCTGGGAATCGGTCGTAAGCTATTTATTGAATCTAAAATTCAACATTGGGTCGTTGATTATGATATTTTCATCAGAACTTGAAAATTCAAGATAGTGGATTCGATATGGCGGAGGACTTTTGTAATTTTGATTCTATTCAACATAGCGGTAGGTTTTCAAGGTCGGAGATTATATGATTCATTCGACAAAATTGAAACAGTAAAGATGGCGGATCGATTATGGTGAACGAGATATCTAATAATGATCCAATTTTATTCAAAATTTGTATCTGGAACTTTTTGGGGTCTGAGATTGTGGTTTTGCGTCAAAATTTTGGAAATTCAAGATGGCGGATCCAATATACCGAACGCGCTTTGTGATAAATATTTGCTTGGGAAACTGAAGAGATAGATAGCCGAACTGAAAAGAACTAGACAATAAAAAATTTAAATAATGGAAGTGTGTTGACAAATATTCCACTGAAAGAATGTTTTTTTCGAATAATGTATATGGCGAAACAACGTTTGCTGGGTCAGCTAGTTATCGTATTTATTTCTCTATTATATTGCTTTCCTCACACGTTTCGGTTGAAGTCACTTCCAGAAATGTGGCAGCACTGCCGGAAGTGACTAAGTTCAATATATGATGCGTATATAGAAAATTCAGCGGAGGTCACTTTGTATCTTATATATATACAAAAAACGTGAAATTTTCGAAATTCGAAATCGTTTCCCCTCTTTTGAAAAACGGGTAGATTGAGCATATATACGCATATATACGTTATTTTTCCTCGGAAAAAGTATTTCTATGACCCGGAGGTCAGGTTGCCCTCCAATATAGCGGAAGTGACAACCCATCGGATATCAATATATATTATATATATAGAACTTCACATTTTCTCCAGATACTCTCTCTCTGCGATGAACACGTCATTCTGACCATCTACCAAATTTGGATTTTCAAATGGAATAATACATTCTGTACATTATTCTATCACTGATTATGGGTTATACCATTACGATACCACAAATATACTGACAATATATCAACTTACTTGCCATTATCACTAGTCTTATTATTAGTAATTAATTAAAGAAAAAATGTATTCAGATATTCAGTTTCTTTATTGATGATGTAAACTTAAATGCTTAAAGAATAATATTGTATTTTATGAATACCTATAACAGGTATAGGTATCCCAATTTTATTTTTTCATTTCATGGCCTCAATCTCCAAATCCTCATATCAGTATTCAAAGTGTTAGTTTTGTGTTATTAGACTTTTAATAACATGTGTTGTCAGCCGCGCGTCGCTATAGGTGATGGGCACAGTTGATGTTTGCCCGCGTCCGCGTCTCGCTTGGCGCGGTTCTCCCACTACGTTGTTTATACGAATACCTCCTTGCGCTAGACGCTAGTATTTTTTATGTAGTCAGCAAATCAGCTGATTGAAATGCGGGGGGTGTGGTAATCGCAGCTGGATGTGAATGTCAATCCTCATTAAATTCTTGCTGAGCACCTATTATTCAAAGATATTTCAACAGTCGTTGCAGGTGAGTTCATCCAAATTACCGGTAGATATTTGCAACAGGTTGGATTCTTCTGATCCCCCCTACTTGGATGATAAAATTAATAGATCTAGGCGGTAAATTTGAACTTGTTTTTATTTATTTATTCTCGCTTGGGGACCCTATCAACACTATAAATATTCTCGAATTCTCGTTCGACTTGTATGACTAAGCAGGACTAAGTGAAGCTCGAATTTCTCTTGATAATGTTCTGGCTGTTAGATTGTTTAGTGACACTGTGTTTTCTGGTCAGCAGTTCCTCAATTTCGTCACAGGCCCTTGCACTTCCATCCAAGACATTTCCTTCGATTGAAATACGTGATATGCCTCTATCATTAGCATAGTTATTCATTTGATAGTCGAGCATATCAAGTATTCTTCGTATGCCTTCCTTTGTTATTCGGTTGTCTGCAAGTTGTTTATCGTGGTAAGTTTATGCTTGCTTCAGCACAAGTTATATTACATGATATGTTTAAATTGGTTAATTTGTCGTTTCCCTTGCAGTAAATTTCATTGTTTTCCTCATAGCTGTCCTGTACAAATGGGTGATAAGGTAATTCCGGAATTAAACTGCACGTTGACGTTTTTTTGGCGATTCCACCTGCTGATGAACTCTTTGATAACCTGCTTTCTGTAAACGTCACATCAATAATATACAGGGGGCACAGCATGCAGGGGGTGTGATCATATGCATTCTTGCAATTTCTGCGCCCCTATATACTTGGTTTTATCGAAAAACAAAAAATATTGAAGGTTCTAGACTTAAATATACATAATAGGATACAGGGTGTGAGTCACGGGTCGATGCTATATCTTACAGTTCTTAGACGTTTACAGAGAACGGGACATAGGATTTATACCGGGTGGCTACGGAAGTATTGCCTACGGAATATCTCAGTTATTGTATAAAGTAGGTTTGTGAAATTTGGAGCGTCGATATAATGACATAAGAGCTAGAATTTGAGCATATTGACATGTCGAAGTTAACTTCCGGTCTGACCGGAAGTAACATCAACTTTCTTATTTTAAATGGAAACCCTATTTTTTTTTCTTTTCGCTTTATTCAGCATTCAATTCTCTTTCTAATGACTTATCACAATAAGTTGTTATCTAACCAGAAACTAGATGAGAAAAAAATTATTATTGAAATTCACCGAGTAGGCCGTGGAAGCAAAATGAAAGCCAAAAATTGAAAAGTTGGCTATGGAAACCATACGTCACTTGATAACAGTTGCTACTACTGTGATATTTTATTTTCATTCGTCGGCGTTATGAAAAGCCGCCAAAAAAATATTGGAAAAATTGGGAAAGAAACAATACTCTGTAGGTCTATAACTTAAATAGGAACATACAACTTTTTCTTGCCTGTACTACTCAGCATAACCATTCCTTTCTAATGATATAATAGAAAGTCATTTTTTGAAATGAAATACCAAAAAATCCAATTATTATTATTCAAATAACAAAAAAACAGATTTATATTTTAATAACAATTTTTTTCTCATCCAGTTTCTGGTTAGATACCAACTTGTGATATGTCATTCGAAAGGGAATTGAATGCTGAATAAAGCGAGAAGAAAAAAAAATAGGGTTTCCATTCAAAATAAGAAAGTTGATGTTACTTCCGGTCAGACCGGAAGTTTACTTCGACATGTCAATATGCTCAAATTCTAGCTCTTATGTCATTATATCGACGCTCCAAATTTCACAAACCTACTTCATACAATAACTGAGATATTCCGTAGGCAATACTTCCGTAGCCACCCGGTATAGTCGGCATGGTTACCTACTCAAGTATAGTTGCTCTTGATAGTCTTGGTCTCTGAAAAATAAAATTGACGCGCATAAAAAACTATTGTGTTAAGAAGGAATCACACTCCAATCCGAATCAAAATCAAGCTAAATTCAACCACGCAATTTTGTCACAGGGCGTTGATAAATATATTATAAGATGAAAGAATAACTTTGGTTTTTCCCTGTATAATCAAGCCTTAATCTTTTCAGGAGAACTTATATTCAGGCTAACATTCCGGGACATAAAACTACTATTTGATTCAAATTTCACAAAAATCAGACAAGAATTAAAAAAGTTACAGGCTGAAAAAGTTGGGCAAATTTTTTGGTGGCCGTTTTTTTTTTGCCGGTCCCGTTCTCCGTAAATGTCACCCTGTATATATATGTAGGTTCCTCTAGAAGTCATTTTCTGAAAGAGCTTACTGAATTTCAACCAACTAACCTCTGACTGTTTTTTTAATGGTTTTCGAGGAACTCCTTTCGATGTCTTGATTTGCAGCCCTCTCAATCTGGAATTTAAAAATTATTCTAGGCACATAAAATCTAACATACCTCTTATTTATCTTGCATTTTGTTTCTGCAAATCGAATTTGATTTTTCGTCTCATTAGAACATCGTTGTGGCCGAGTTGAAATTTTTGCAAAGGCTGTGTCAAGATGGCACAAGCCTTGCTCCTCAATTTGTTATCTGCCAAATTCAGCGACAACAGGTTCCTGTTTATTCGCAAGAAATCTGCCACATACAATACACCCTCATCGAAAATACTGTTACTTGCAAGATTCAGGTGTAACAGAGAATTTCCTAAAAAAAGTGTTTCAAGTGGCTTCCGTCTTTATCTATAACGTAGGTGTAGGTATTCTATAATGCAGACATAATATTTCTTCATGAGGAAACATCCAATCCCAAATTGGGGAGGAAAAAATATTACCTCCCGTGTAAAAAAGGTGAAATATATCCATCTCATTTACCTGTAGGAGTACTAAGTTCTTTGGCAATTCTCTCAACACCCACTGTATTGATCCCACATAACTTCAAGGATACAGAAAATAGTTGTGTGTCACGCAATACTAAAAAATGGTTTTGTTCCTCTAGGGGATTCCCATTCAGACTCAACTCCTTTATTGTATCGTGGGTTTTCAAAATGTCCACTAACGAGTCTATATGGTCCAGTGTCATATTGCAATTCTCAAATCTGGCGTAAAAAAAATTTCTCAGGGGGAATTATTCTTCCATTGTTCTACAGGTTGATAGAAAAAATTTTGGGAGTATCGTCACATAAAGGTAAAATGTGCTTACTTCAATGTACTGATGAATTTATACGGTTCCATCCAGTATTTCAGAGCAAACATCATTTTATTCTCGATACCATTGTTCTTGATGAAAATTTTGTCCAACTCATTCAATTCATCTATCTTTTTGAAACCAAACTGAATCTTGTATGGATTGTCGTCTAAGTGAGTATATTTCTAAAACGAAGATGTAGGCCATAATGGCAAAAATTGAAAACGTGTATGGTTTTTTTTTCTCGAGAATTAAAAAAAGATTCTTTTGATTTTTCAATATCCTCAATAAAATATAATGATACGAAACGAACGAATAATGCGAAAAGAACGAATGAAACGAATGAAATGAATGAAACAAATAAAATGAATGAAACGAAAGAAAGGTATGCGGAGAATGAAACGAAAAAACTAATGATAAGAAAAGAACGAACGAAGAGAAAAAGACGAATGAAGCGAAAGAAACGAATGAAGCGAAAAGAACGATTGAAACGATTCAAATGAATGAAACGGATGAAACGTTTGAAATGAATGATGGTGAAATCATATGCACAACTTGATCGAATAAGATATACTATAGGTAGTAAGAATAGCTTTTTATATATCAAGGGAGCAAAGCTATCCATTTCCTCCCGCGTGTCAAGTTTGATGCCCGACACACATGGGAAGAAATGAACCTTTGCTCCAAGATACATATACAGGGTGGCATTGAAATAAGTGCAAATATTTTAAACACAGAGAAAACTCGACGTGTACTATCGAATAGCACTTATGGCACTTTGGGGATCAAAATAAAATTCGAGTTCATGTGATAGGCACAATCACGCGGAGTTCAATCATTTAAATTGTTTTAAAGTGGCGTACTTGATTTTTTTCTCGTATTTCGCCCAATTTTTGGGATGAAATTTATTGAACCTAACCTACGAATAAGAAAAAGGTAAAACTGCATTTAGCATGCGATGGTTTTTTTTTCGAGAATTTTTTTTGGTGAAAAGAAGGAAGAATATCATTTGAAATAATGGCGTGTGTAATGTCATTCCAAAGCAATCTATTGACATTTGACATCTTGTATTTGGATTGCCTATGGATTAAATGGCCGTCATCTGGTATGCTCTTGCTCACTAAATAGGAAAAATTCACCATTAAAATCATATTTCCTGTTGAATTTTCTGTATAAAAATGTGTCATTGAAGTACATCATGAGTATATAAAGTGTCCAAAGACAAAATAACAAGAGCAAGTACCTGTAAATGCATCCAACGCAAGGAGAAAAGGGAGTCGAAATTTCGAACTTTTTTTGAAATATCTCGATAAATAGTGGTTTGTTCACATTTTCATTGTCAAATTCGTGTTTTTCAGACAAAAATACGTAAGTACCAAAAAAAAAAATTCGAAAAAAAACCCATCGCATGCTATATAAATGCAGTTTTACCAAGAAAAATATAATAATCATATGGATGTACCTTATCGTCATCGATATTGACAGGACTGGGCATTTTGGTACATTTGTAGAATTCGCACGTTTTCCTTAACGCCGCATAGATATCGTTCATGTATACCATGATGTTAATAGTTGCTTTATAAGGCGATGGGCCCAAACTTTTTCTTATTTTTGTCTTCGGCGTACTTTCCCTATCCGCACTAGAGCTTCCATGTTTGGTTGGAGCAGTCGACATCTTTTGCTGATTTCCTCACCTTATCTGGATTTCTCTCAGCGTTTTCAAATCAATGATTGTCGTCTAGTCGACGTCACTTTGACAACGGTTATTAATTTTTTTTTTGGGTGACAACGGATACGTTTGGTGTTTTTTATGTTACACTTTTTGACATTTTTTTTGATCAAAATTATAGTTCCTTGATACTTCATATTTTCCATGAAAAACCAATTGAATAAAGCTTTTCCGGTTTTACGGGAAATAGACACCTAGGTCGAGAATTTTGAATGTTTTTATACTTCATTCGATAGAGCAGAAAATTCTCTTTTCAATGACATATCACGACAAGTGAACATTTTTGTTTTCAAAATGACGGCACAGGAAATATTTTTACCAAGATTTTCTGTTAGTAATTATTTAAATTTGCATTATTTTTCTTGAATTTTCTACAAAATTTCAAATAGTAAAATTCTGAAGAAAAATCAAGTGAAAGCCCAGCAAAAATATATACATGCATGGGCCATGGGCCAATATCATTCCAGTGAACTATCATTGGCTCAATATTGGCATATTATATCATTGAAACAGCAATGAACATCTACTTTTTCATCACCGAAAAATAGTGCCAGCAGTAGTCCATATATCAAATCAATGGGTCATTGAATCGCTAGCTCTGGCGTGTTTGCTGGGAGGTCTGTTTATTCCGTTCTCTCTATAATATGAATGATTTTGATTGCTTCTATTCGCGAGATTCACGAAGTGGGCGACATCTAGGTTACATAATACGAACTTCAAACTGGGGGAAAACAAACTGTTGTCTATGGATAAAGTGCATATAGACTACATTGCATACATCTTGCTGTAGCTGTCAAACTTGTCAATGAAATGAGGTGTTATCACTCTCATCAGTACACAGTACACAAGCTAATGGCACTAATGGGATTGAGTTTGTTTTCCCCCTGTTTTGACGTGGCTTTGACATGGAACGATGAAAACCGAGCGCCACCTGGTAACATTGAATCCCGCGAATTATGACGAAATAATTGAAAATCACGTCCAACATGGTGTTATTTTTGCCAGACATGATCTTCCAACACTTCTAAACCATGTGGTACCTGATCGTGACGGCCCGCAGCCTCGTCTGGGTCCTTCTCACGCTCTTCTCCGCCCTGCTGATGCTCAGCGCCCTGCTGAGCCCCTCCTGGCTGATCTCCTTCCCTGAGACAACCACCTTCAACAACGAAACGGTCAAATTCAGGCCGAGCGTCGGCGTGTACTCCAAATGCGGCCGACCGGCGGGGGTGGATCACCCCCCTTGCACCCTGTTGGCAGTCAGGGGGCTGGGCACCGAGGCGCATATCTACCCTGATGCGTGGAAGGCGGCGACTGTGTTCATAGCTTCAGGTGAGTAAAGTCGGGGGTCTACGGATTTTTCGGCGCGGATATGGCAACATTGTAAATCTTCTGAATTTCAATATAATATGATGGAATTAGGGAGAACCCACAATTTTTGCGTAGATTCAGGTGAGAAAGATGATTGAGATGTCTACTGAATTTATTCGTGAAGCTGGCAACATTGTACATGATCGAAATTCCATTTATAGTACTTTTTATTTAGTTATACCGTTATACTACATCCGCATCTTCTAGAATTAGTGAGAAATTCATGTTTTGTTAGTAAACTTATAAAGAAATATAATTATTCGGATGTCTACTGAAATCAATCGTGCATCTGGCAACAGCGACACGGTGAAATACAGGCCGAGCGTCGGCGTGTACGTCGAATGCGGCCGACCGGCGGGGGTGAAACCACCCCCTTGCACCCTGTTGGCCGTTAGGGGGCTAGGGATCGAGACGCATATCTACCCTGATGCGTGGAAATCGGCGACTGTGTTCCTAGTTTCAGCTGAGGGAAGTCGGGGGTCTACGGAAAATTTTGGGAGTGGATATGGCAACATTGTGAATTCCCGAAATTCCAATTCATGGCAAATTTTATAATGGAATCAGGGGCTACCTACATCCTGTGCGTAGATTTACGTGAGAAAGATAATTCGGATTTCTACTGAAATTATTCGTGAAGCTGGCTACATTGTACATGATCAAGATTTGAATTTATAAAATTATTCATTTAGTTATGCTACATCGGCTCCTCCTGAAATTAGTGATAAAACCCCCACGCTGTTTATTAATTTAGTGAGCAATATGATAATATTCGAATGTTTACTGAAATAATTTGTGAAGCTGGCCATTGTACATGATCAAAATTTCTGTTTATAGTATATACTTTTTATTCAGTTATGCTACATTCGTATCACCTGAAATTAATAAGAAACTCCCTTTTTGTTTGTAAATGTATTAAGAAATATAATCGGATGTCTACTGCAATCATTTGTGTAGCTGAACTAATGGGTTATTTTTATTTTAGGTTTATTCATTATGTCAGTAACCGTATGTATGGGCCTGCTGAGTTGTTGTTTCCAAAGCATATTTAAAAAGAGCATTTTCAACATATCTGGAGCTGCTCAAGCCATTGCAGGTATGTAATAATAGCTATTTATATATCAAGGGAGAAAAGGTATCCAATTCTTCCCGCGTGTGAATAGTTTGATGCACGACGCGTATACACCCAAAAACAAAAACGTACAGATGACAGGAATAAAATGTCAACAAATTTTCTCAGATGTAATTTTGTTATAGTTTTACTCGGTTTTAGTTGTATTATAGAGAGATGAAAATTGTGTATATCATGAAGAATGGCTGTAAGAATAAGTGGACATCATGGTTACTGATGAGGGTTTAGAAATCGGTAATGAGTTCATTGCAATAAAGTCATATAACCTGTGTGTGAGAGATAATATTTCCCATATCACTGATATGAATGATTATTTTTGGAAGTTTTCAAGCTCATCAAGATCAGAGTTTATGCTAGTATTCTTCTCCTATACATTCCAATTTTCATTTCAATGCTGAATATATTGGTAAGTTATATTCATATATCATTATACATCATATTATTCATTCGATTTGAGAAAGAATGTCAATTCTCAATTTCGGAGAATTTCATTATTTATTTTTCATCTTCTCCTTTTGGATGTTCATCAGATATAATTCAATATTCGACGTGGCAAATAGCCAGGAAAGTAGTTGTTTTCTGTTGAATATTCAGAATGATGTGTGCATATACATATATTTGTCTGAAGGATAATGCAAATTCTCAATTTCAGAAGATTTTATATTTTATTTTCAAACTCTTATCATGTGTGTTCAATAGATATAATTCAATGTTCGTCGTGGCAAATAGCCAGGAAAGTAGTTGTTTTCTGTTGAGTATTCAGGATGATGTTATGTCCAAATACAAAGTGTTTTTCTGAAGGAGAATGCAAATTCTCAACTTTAGAAGTCAAGTCAAATTCTTATCGTCTGTGTTCAATAGATATAATTCAATGTTCGTCGTGGCATATAGCCAGGAAAGTAGTTGTTTTCTGTTGAATAAACTGAAAAAGAGTTGATGTTCTCATCACATCGAGATGCAAATTCATAGTGTCATTCATAAAGTCGGCATCATATGGGAAAAACTTTCATTAATGACTTATTTTGGAATTCGAGTTGGACGTTAAGTTTTGCTTCAAGAAAGATGAGAAATGGCCTACTCAATCGGGGTCACGTGACTTTCGCTACATGTCAAAAGTGACATTTTTTCAAATTAATCGCTGAAAGTAGGCTTATTTGTTCGTATATCGAAAAAGTTCACTTGAAAAAGTTGTTTCTATTTCAATTTTTCACATGCTCCCCGATTTTGATTTTTCTATTGCAATTTTTAGATTTTGATTTTTTTTCAGAGAGAGAAGAGAGAGAACATCTTTATTAGGGATATACCCCAAAAGGCCATTGACCGAAGTCTTTCAGCCCGATTTTTTTTTTAATTTTTCGAAATTTCTGTAATATTCTAAGAATTGTTAATTCCACGAAACTACTTCATATCAGTAGCTTTTTATGCTACTCACTTTCAATTACTTATTATCACTGATTATGGACAGAAATATGATTTTCTTCAGAAAATGATAATACCCGCTTCCAAATTCTGTTATGTTTGATGCAAAGTTGATATATCGTCAAGCATTTAGAAACGAAATTCATTTAAACTGATCTTTTCAGTACTGAAAAAATAAATTTGATTGAATTTCGTATCTAAATGCTTGACTAAAACATAACAGAATTTTGATGTAATGTTTGCTTCAAACATAACAGAATTTTGAAGCGGAGATTACCATTTTCTGAAGAAAATCATATTTTTGTCGATAATTAGTGATAATTAGTAATTGAAAGTTAGTAGCATGATGAAACTACTTGTATGAAGTAGTTTTATCGAATTTACAATTTTTTTAATTTCACAGAAATTTCGAAAATTTTTAAAAAATACCGTAATCTAAAAAATGTAATAGAAAGATTAAATCCGAGTCACATATGTAAAATTCAAATAAAAACAACTTTTTCAAGTGAACTTTTTCGATATTCGAACAAATAAACATACTTTCAGCGATTAATTTGAATAAATGTCATTTTTGACGTGTAGCGAAAGTCACGTGACCCCGATTGAGTAGGCCATTTTTCATCTTTTTTGAATCAAAACTTAACGTCCAACTCGAATTCCAAAATAAGTCATTAATAAAAGTTTTTCCCATATGATGCCGACTTTATGAATGACACTGTATATATATATTTATATATCCATTTTTTATGTTCAGCATTTATCTGAGAATATTCCTTTTATACCGGATACTTTAAAAAAAAATTAACTCAACATAACTCCGTGAACTCGATGTAGCTTGTCCATTTGATCGACTCTGTATACGCTGAATTCCAGGAATCTGCTACATAATCGGGGTGATGCTCCACCCGATGGCGTGGGGCAGCTCGAGAGTGCAGAAGCTGTGCGGCAGGGACGCGTCGCCCTTCTATCCGGGCGACTGTTCGCTGGGCGCGGGCCTCTATCTGGCCGTCGCCGGTACGGTCCTGACCTTCGCGTGCGCCTGTCTGTCCCTGCCCGCCGAAAAGTCCACCAGCAGCGATAAGGTGCAGGACAAGATCTACGAGGGGCAGACGCTGATTTGTTTGACGTAGAAATCGAAGTGAGTGCAAAAACTTCAAACGATAAGATTTCCACAAAATTATTAAACACACACTACATGTTTCACTGATTTGGGATGTCACCTGGGTAGATTCTTTAGCAGATTCCAATATATAGTTTCATCTATCAAAGCTGCTGGAACCCCTGCATGTGAGGCTGAGAAAAGAAAGTGCGGAAAATATAAATGTTTGGAAGACAAGTTCATCTTTATACCATTAGGGTTCGAAACTTTTTGTCCTTGGGGACCTTCAGCCAAAGAAATGATTTCAACTATTGGCCATTTGATTTATTCTCAAAGCAGTGAAGCTAGATCTACTGAATACCTTCGCCAAAGAATTTCAATTGAGATTCAGAGAGGCAATGCTGCTTGCATTCTCAATACTATACCATCGAGCAAAGGTCGCGAAGAAATTTTCTATATACTGAGTGATGCATTTCCAATAAGAACCCGGACTTGTGCAAGCAGATCTACACAGTAGCTTCGTCAGGTGATGTACTGGTACAATGAACTAAACCAACGTTGGCTTGCTCAACTTTTATATACTACTTTCCCAACTTGAAGGATTAGTTACCTGTGGACAGGTTCGGTAAACCTTCATTTTCGGAAATTGGGCACAATATCTACATTAAAATACGGTGTACCGGATGCATTTTTATTAAATATACCGCACGAAACCACAAACCACGCCCACCGTAATACGTCATATCTCTAAACATCACCGATATACTCGGAGTCAGCACATCGCACTAAATATACTGTGCTCCAGCGCGAGAATTCTATGATTTTGACACGAATTCGACTGAAGCTCTCTCGAATATCTCTTGTATGCAGTTAATTTATACACTCAAACGGTCTACTGGTTAGCGCTGTCGACTTTCTGATAGCGTCTGAACAACTCCCCCACCCATTGGGTAACCTCAGTGAAATTACCTTGGCCAACACCTCTGCTTGCTCGGAGGATTTTATCTATACAGTTTGGAATTGTACATAGTATACTTATTTATTCACAATGTGGATATATTCATGTGCTGTAAGCCAAAGATGGAAGATAATAGATGACTTTTAATGTGTCGACTTTCAGTCTGAAGGTCGGTGGTTCGATTCGCTGTGGACTTGAACTTTTTCTTTGCAACTTTTTTCTTCACTTATGTTTCTTTACTTCATTCTGGTTTTCCTTCTTCAGAAAATATTTGAAGTCAAATAGGTTAGTGCGTTTAGGATAAACAGTCTCATTTTATTCCATTTTGTTGAAGAACTTGGACTTTTGAAATATATTATTAATCAATGTGTTTTTACCCTCCATTCTGGTTTTCCTTCCTCAAAAATATTGCAATTATTTCGTTAAGGATAAATAATCTCTGAGTTTTGCCTAAGTACTTTGAAGATGAGATATTACGGTGGGCGTGGTTTGTGCTAGCGGACATAGTATATTTAGTAAAATCGCGTACCGGATTAACTTGAAAGGGTTGATAACAAATGAATATTATTACCTACTAAGGAGAAAAATTCAACAGTGGTGAACTATTGAGATCTAATTGATCGTTAAGTAAAATGTCAAAATTTTTGAGTATGTTGATTATTTCTAATGATTCAAAATGATGAGTTTCATCCCTTTATTTTCTACGTGTAGAATTTCGAAAAATCTTCAATGACTTTCTTCTAATATATGGTTGGCGTATGTTGACTTGGTTTTCTTTCTCAAAAATTCATCTTATGTTCATGAATGCGCTGATTAAACGTATGACCTTGATCGATATATACCTTAAGGATATCCACAGTTGAGTTTGTATACCACTGATTTTTCGAATTTAGAAGTTTTGTCTTGATCATTTCTGATAAACTTTCCCAACGTTTTATTTTTCTGAAATGCTACTCTCAAGTCCTGTTCATGTAGAAATGAAGCTAATTTTTCAGTTGATGATCCGAAATAGGTCAAGTTCTATAATTTTGATTATTATTCTTGATGGTAAGATAAACTTCTTGAATAGCTTTATTATGAAGTTTTTTAGAAAGAATACTGTCTATCAAATTAACGTTGTATCCGTTGTGGTGATCGATGTGAGTGATGGTTTTTGATGATTGAGGAATGACTATTCATTGACGGCACGAATTCAATACTACCCGAAATGGTCCACCGTGTGTCGTAAGGATGCGATGCAACAAATAATCCGTGTGTTGAGGATAATCTTCCCTCTATAAATTTGTTTTGTACTTAAATTCCCAGGAAACATATTGCCAAATGTAGTAAAGTGCATGCCTGATAAGCCAAAGGTCCCGAGTTCGAATCCCGTACTCCACCTACTTTTTTTTTTCTTTTTTCGGAGTGATTTATTGAAAAAATACTGTGGAGACATTCACTGTGGTGGCCGATAATGATACGCTATTTGAATGACGTTTTGTTTCAACCTAAAATCGCAAATTTTGACAAATATTGAAACAAATGGGCTTTTGATGTTTTCAGACTATTTTCAGTAAACCAGCGCCATTGACAGGCAGATGTTACCAAGACAACGATTTTTCTCCAAAGCAAACTTGATTGACAGCAATATATTCGAATTTTTGGTTGGGTCTGAAATACTTAATCAGTTTTTTTATTGTTATATATCTATATATATCATATGTTCATGTATCCCTATTATGAACAAATATGTTTCTTGGGGTAATAAAGAACAACAACAAATGTAATTTTTCATTTTCCAAACGTTAATATTTCGAAAACCATTGAATGTAGAGTGAAGTATATCGAATAAAACTATAAGAAATCATGAGAAGATCCCGAAAATGGGATAATATGCAGGGCTGTTCCATTTAAAAATATATTCAAGATGGCGCTCAGCCGCCATTGTAAAACATTAGGCTGTTATTTTCCCAAAAAAGTAGGTTTTCATCTCCTATTTGAGCCTTCCAAGTTTTGATGGAACATACCAAGTGTTTCGAAAATTAGTTGGGGGGTAAGGGAGTTTAGATGGGCATTGAATGCTGCCATTTCATGTTGATAAGGATGGGTTTATACAATGTTGATTCATTATGAATAGTGGTTTTCTTTACTCCGTTGACGTCGTAAATATAAGGCTCAAATGAACTCAAACATACAAAGATGTCAAAAATAATTTAATATTGAAAATATTAATTTGAATGTTTTGCCTGTGGCATTTCAGTTGCAGTTAAACCTTGGAATCACATATATGATTTCGAATCTAACAACAGTTCAAATTTAACCAAATAAGTCACAGATTTTGAATTAAGCTATTATAATCATTCAAAACCTATGAAATCATCAAACATTCTCCATCAGCTTCTTCCAAACCAGACACTTATTGTTAGCAGGCAATTCATAAATACAAACGAGTTTGATCCCGTAAGTCTCCGCTACCTTGACCAAATCCTGTATATCCCTCACCCCACAATTAGGATCCTTCAACCTGATGTTCTTATCGAAATCCCTATTCGACTGCGGTTCCAACACCCCATTGTTAGCGTAAGCCCCGTAAGTAAAAAGCAGCCCTTTAGGCTTGAGCGCCTCGCTCACATTCTTGAACAGCCCTATCGAGCAAGAAAACGGGGTCACGTGGATCATGTTGACGTTGATGACGTAATCGAAGTCGCCGGCTAGCCCCCACTGCGCGAAATCCTCCATTACGTTGACGAATAAGGCTTTCTTGACGTTTTTAGTCGGTACGTCATCAGCGTAGGCGTCGATGCTGTCAAACAAGGACGTCTCGACTTCCGTCGGTTGGAAAGTCAGCTTCGGAAAGTTCGGAGCGAAATGAGCCAGGTGCTGTCCAGTGCCGGACGATATTTCGAGTACTTTGCCCTCGACTGTGTGGTCGATGTGCTTCTGCAGGACTTCGAGGATCGGCGTCTTGTTTCTGTCGGCCGAAGGGTAGTTTATTTTTCTGCTAGCGGAAGCAGAAAAATAGATTTAGGGTCTAGCAAGTAAAGTAATATTATTTTACCGTCTAGACAGTAAAGTCGCACTTCTACCATCTAGTCGGTAAAGTCGTACTTCTACCATCTAGTCGGTAAAGTCGCACTTCTACCATCTAGTCAGTAAAGTAGTACTTTTTCTGCATATGCAGCTGACGCATATTTTTTCATTGACTGTCGAGTAAGAGCTGCTCACAATTTTGATAATAATTGGCACTCCTCTGGTATATCTACAATTTGTTGGTGTCTTTCCTGGCTGCCTGTATAAATACATGAAGCATTAACGTATCACTCAAAGACCTAGTCACACAAGAAGCGCTTTTACTGTCTAGTCATTAAAGTAGTACTTTGATGCTTGGGCAGTGAAGTAGCAATTCTACTGTCTATGTAGTTGAATCATATTTCTTACTGCCGGATGAAGGTGATAATAAAAAAACACTTTCACTGTCTAGGTAGTAAAAGCGGTCATATTTCCTATTTGAGAAGAAACATATCAAATTGGCTGTCCGTAATTCATCCTTTAAATTCCTGTATGCAGGGTGTTTTCGAAGTTGGGGCGATAGTTTATGTATGAGACACACGATAAATCAAAAAGGAAATGTCCATTTTTTATTTTTTGAAAGAATGTGCGCTCACCATACGGCACATCTTTCAACTATTATTGAATATTCGGCAGCAGAAATCGGTGATACTTCACTGATGCTGATAGAAAGCAATCATCTGATCCACATAAGTTTGAGTCAATCTTTGAAGCTCAATATCTCCAAAATAATTTGTTTGCGACAAAAATGTATTCTTTCATTCCGTTTTTTGTTTTTCATATCCTATTACCTATTACTTACCCATTTCATTTATCGCCCCAATTTCGGAAACTCCCTGTATATAGGTAATGAAATAGCCCTTTAACCATGCCTTGAGCAAACTAGGAAGATATTATTGGCCTCAGAATAAACATTTAACCCCAGACACATGTTTAAGGTTTTCGGCTTCTGGTTGTTGACTCCGTCGATTTGTTGTTTCGTCTTCCACCAAGTGTTGCCTATCTTTTGAACTTTTTTCACCGTACTGATGAGGGCCGAAAGTTCGAAACACGTGTCTGCGGTTAACTCTTTCTGAGTGCTATGTCCAATAATATCTTCCTAGTTTTTTACTACCGTAGAGTAGTTTCTGTTCAATGAAAAAGTGTAATTTGAATAACGGTTTAAAAACACAAAAAATGGAGGAAGAGGAACAAAATTCTTAAAATTATCGGAGGTAAATCTACAATTTTATTTTGAACGTCCTATTCAGGCAGATGTGTAACAACTCACCTCATTCTAATAAGTCCAGAAGAAAAGTGCTTTATCAATAACTGCATCTGCAACAAATTTTTTATGTACCCATATATCGTCCGAGCATATTTTATAATGATACCAAATATTCAATATCAATGTATGTACTTATATTTATACCTTGAATTTTTTATAATATTTATAAACGGTGTCCCACAAGTATAGGTGAAACTCAGTGATCAATAATAGTACAGTTAAAATAATACTAGTCAAATTGTCCAAAAGTCTGTCAGTTCTGAAAATATTTGCCTGAAACTGAAGGTTTTTCTCAAGTGTCCTTCCTATTAGAATATTTTCGTGAAAGTTTATTTGAATTTCTAGTCCTAGTATTATTTTCATCTGTACCTACAAATGAAAATTTTGCCTCAAATACTCTAAAGGGCGCCCACCCTTGAAGCTTGAAGTATAATAGCTTTTGTATCTTATGAAAACATTTTTTACATTGTACTTTTTAATAAATTATATCAGTTTGTAAAATTTGCATTTTAATACCTACCTAAATATTAGAAGTACAATTGAAAGAGTTTTAGGTCATGTCAATTTTTTATTTTCTCAACAGAAAAACTATTCTGAAAACATGATATTGAATGAGTAAAATTACACTGATGCTTGTAATAACCACTAGTTTTTTGTTTGAAAGTCAATAATGTTTGTAAAAAGTTCAATTGGCTACAATTAAATTAACAGGATGATAAATTTTATATTCCAATCATAACAATAAGTGTCTATACATCTTCATTTTTCTTTTATATTCTTCTTTTTGCTCTTGGTTATTACATTAGGAGGAATGTAGACTCCATGTCCAGTTTTTTTCAAGTGGTCAAACAGTTTATTTTTGGAAGTAAAATTAGATTTACAGGTGACACAATTGTGATCAGTATCAATTTCTTGTATCTCACTAGCTGTTATTTCAGTTTTGCCTTTCTTTTCTTTTTTCTTCCTCATTGCAACTTTCTTTTCACTGACTTTTTCAGGAGTTTCTTCAGTGGACTTCTCTTGGTTTTCCTGGGCATCATCTTTAACTTTATTATTAGTATTAGTAGCATTTTTCCTATTTTTTTTCTTAGGTTTTTTGTTAGTACTAAAATTATCATCAGAATTTTCTACTAATTCCAAGCTACCTAAATCTTGAATTTCCACTTCATCCAAGTTTATTATGTTCCTAGGTTTTTTCTTCTTTTTTCTACTCTTCTGAGTATCATCTATAGACTCAGATTCTGAAGGGACATCTGTCAAAACTTCTTCCTCCACAATTTCAACTAGGGAATCATTGGTTTCTACATCATCATTATTCTCATTATTTGAGGATATATCAATTTCTTCTTCCAACATGGTTTCTTTCAAAGAAAACACATTTTCTTTGTGTTTTTTACTGCTTTCATGATTTTCAAAGGCCTTAGGAGTTTTGAAAATTTTGTTGCAAGCCACACAATATAAATTATTGAGATATTCATCATCAGATTCATTCTCAGAATTAGAAAATTCTTCACCAAATTGTTCTGCCAGGGTCCTCTCAATTTCTTTCAATTCTGACTTCACATTATCAAACTTTGTCCACTCAGGTTGGTCCTTAGATTTATTCAACTCTTCTTGCCTCTCCAATCTTTTCTGTTTACTCAGCATTTCTCTTTTCTTTTTATCCTCCAACAATTTTTGTTCCTGTACCTTTTTCTGAGCTTGTACACGTTTGTCACGTTTTCTCACAAAAGCTACAAGACTTCTCAGTTCCTCATTTCTTTCCTTCTTGGCATTCTGTCGGACCTTTTTATTTTCCTTTTCAACTAACTTAAGATACCTCCTGTCCCTTATGTCTTTAATGTCATGGGGATCTAGCCAAACATAGCTTTTCTTAGTAGAATAGTTGAGCCAATAAGCATAGAACTCTGAAACATTTTCATAGTCAGTTTGGGAGTTGCCAAAGCTAGGGATATCACAGAACTCTTCTTTATCTTCCATAAACTCCATATCTTCTTTGGCAATTTTCTCAAAAACGTTGCGATAAACAGCATAGAAACCATTCTCATCATCTCCATACCCTTTGAAACATGTTGTAGTGAAATACTGGAATACGTCCAGACTCTTGTCTTGGAAATTCGAACTAGAACCACGCAAAATCTGCTCCCTGTGGTTGTCATACCAAGCTCTCTCTTGTCGGTCACTTAGAACTTCATAAGCTTGCTGAACGATTTGGAACTGCTCCTTAGCGTTTTCTGGATCGTTCAAATTCTTGTCGGGGTGCCATTTCAGGGCTAACTTTCTGTAGGAAGATTTGATCTCGGCATCGTCTGCATCTCGAGGAACGTCCAGAACTTCATAATGACACTTCATTTTCGCGAGGTTAGATACTTTTTTAGGTGAAAAATAGTTATACTGATATGAGACTGAAAGATTCAATGAATGACAGGTAATAAATAGTGGGGAAAGTTTCTAATTTTCTCTTGAAACTTTTATATAAATAAATATGTTGACAAAAGCTCAGATGAGGACAAAAGCATGCTAAATTTGGTTATTGCTTACCTGTCGCGGAGTTGAAATGTCAAATATATATAAGTTCTTCTGTTTCATTCTTTTCTAGTTAGCTGTCATGACCACAGGTCAGGACTATAAACCTATCATTTCTAGTTATGGGAGGCTTTAGGCAACTCTTCCATAAACAAGTTATTCCGCAAACGGAAAACTTCATTTGGCACATATACCTATAAAGCATTTTACAAAAGCAGACGAAAGAACATAACCTATATCGTAAGCCACTGAACACCTGTCAGAAATGTGACGGATTGGTGACGGAAGTAAATGAGAAATGTCAAATTGTCAAACAGCTGATTGCGCTAGAGTGGTGGCTAAAATGGCGAAGTATTTTTCATGGAATAATTTGGGAAATACGATATTTTGAGAAGGAAAATCGTCCTCCGTAATCTCGAGTTGATCAGGTGAAAAATAGGATTTATATGTCAACGTTAGAAAGGTGTAGAATTCACGAGACCCAAAGTCAGTCATCGATTTTTCTGTGGTCATTATTATCATCAGTGTTATTACCAGTTTAAACCACTATCATTAAACCAATATTTATTATTTTCTATTGAATAATTAAATCGAGCGCGGATGTTTTTCAAGATCATGTGACGAATTTGTGCCACAACATAACTTTAATTGACAATAATTTATTTAATTGGATGCAATTCTGAACCACAAATGTCATTAGTTTCCTCTTCTATGTTGTAAAAACATGATTTTTAGATTTCCAAAATGCCTGGCACCAGCCTGGTAGTTCCTGTCGTGCTCTGGGGAAAACATGCCCCCACACATTGTATATCCTGCATTTACTTTTCCAAGGACCTCAAGACCTTGGCTACTGGGTGTTATGATGGCCAGATATGTCTATGGTGAGTGACATTTCGCAACATGAATAATCCTATCTACTAATCATTTTTCCAGGCAAGTTGACCCAGATACTCTTCACATGACCCCCAGATGTCTTCTGGTGGGTCATACTGCTCCAATTCTGTGTATATCCAGGGCCTCCATGGTACCTGATAATGACTATATTGTCTCCAGCTCAGAAGCTGGTGAGATGTGCACTTGGGACCTTGTAGATGGAAAATGCAGGGAAGCAGTGAAACTCCAGCAAGTTCATACAAATATGCAAGTAAGTCATGGGGGGCACACATAACACAACTAACAAGTGATACTTGAAATAAGAAAGAATAATGGTCTGTTCATAGAAATTATTTATAATCAATTTACATTTGATTTAACAGCTTTATTTCCCATAAGAAATGCACTAAATTGAATATTTAACTGGAATTGAAAGTGTTAATTCATTTATTTGAATAGTTGATTTTTGTTTCATTGATGAATAATTTCCCAATAGTCAGGGATTATTTATGATGTGCATACTATGTCTTCTTTATGATGTGAGATAACAACTTGTGTAAATATATCATAAAGTGTAATATTCCTAGTAATGATGTTTTCTAGAAAAATTATCACCCATATTTCACAATTTATGAGTGTTGATAATGTTTCAAATTGACATTTTTTAACAATGAAATTATATCTTGCAGGCCTATCACATGTGCAACTGTGAGGATCTTCGTCTGTTTTGCAATGGATATTATCCTGAGATCATAGTCATGGATCCTTTCAGCTTAGAAATCCTCTTCATGCTCTCATCTAAACAAAACCCTGATTGGATAAGTGCTCTGCATGTATGTATCCAAAACATTCAATTCCACTGGTATCAATTTATTGATTATATTCATTACAATTAGAAAAATTGGTATGGGTGCTGCCAATTCCTGAATTGTAATAAATAAAATTGAGGATATTCACACCAAATACAGGGTGATTCACTTCAAATGTTGTCCCTGTCTGTAGTTTGTTTTCTCTTGGAAAACAACTACTGCCTAAAGTTAATTAATTTGTTATTCTATCTAGTTTTTCTGAAAGTAGTAAAATTGGAACTGTATTTTTGGAATCTGATTTCATTGTATAAACTCATAATACTTATATTGTTTTCCACAAAATCTAGAAAAATGAAATGATGATGGGTGATACCCAGGAATTTATGATTAAGGGTAAATACCCCTGAGCTGGGTATTTATGAAGATATTTTGTATTTATGAACTTTTCAACAGAAAACATGGAAAATTGCTATTTATTACACTATTTTTGCAAATCTTATGTCTTTGAACAGGTTTTTCAATTTGACAACTTTTTGAAAAACCTAAAACAATGTTTAAATTGAACAACTTCATGAACTCACTCCCAGTGGTCTGGGATCTGGTATCTGGTACTACAGAAATTACACCCTTTACAAAAAACCCACTTAAAAAAAAACTTAATAAAACTTATTCATTGAAAAAACTGACTCCTACCTCATGTCAGAGGAACAAGGAACTTAAACTTAACTTAAAAAACAAAAAAACTAACTTTCAGTTTTCACTTGTGAGTCTTGTGTAAGGAATAATAAAATAATGTTTATATAAATAAAAAACTATTTTATTCTTCATGTGAGGAACAAATACAAATAACAACTCAGAAGGTAAATAAAAGTTTTCATTTTCCCACCTGAGACTTCAGTACGATATAGTCACCGGGCCATCTTCGGACGACCGAAAGTGCCAGAAAACGGCGAAAATCCACGCGAATTATCGCTTTTCCAGTAGAAAATGACACGCTGAATCGAATGAGACTATAATCAGCTCCATAGGACAGATAGTTTTTGAGATATCTGCGCTCAAAGTCAGTTTTACGCTTTTATTGCCAATAGGAGCACTCCGGTAGGCTACTACGTCTCCATTTTCCAGATTTTCCCAATTTCCACCACATATTCGTTCATTTCGACATTGAATTAGTCTATGTGAATTTTTTCAGATTTCTTATCGGCCAAATAAAAATTTTCATTTTCCCACCTAAGACTTCAGTACGATATAGTCACCGAGCCATCTTCGGACGACCGAAAGTGCCAGAAAACGGCGAAAATCCACGCGAATTATCGCTTTTCCAGTAGAAAATGACACGCTGAATCGAATGAGACCATAATCAGCTCCATAGGACATATAGTTTTTGAGATATCTGCGCTCAAAGTCAGTTTTACGCTTTTTTGCCAATAGAAGCACTCCGGTAGGCTACTACATCTCCATTTTCCAAAATTTCCCAATTTTCACCACAGATTCGTTCATTTTGACATCGAATTAGTCTATGTGAATTTCTTCAGATTTTTAATAGGCCAAATAAAAATTTTTCATTTTCCCACCTAAGACTTCAGTACGATATAGTCACCGAGCCATCTTCGGACGGCCGAAAGTGCCAGAAAACGGCGAAAATCCACGCGAATTATCGCTTTTCCAGTAGAAAATGACACGCTGAATCGAATGAGACCATAATCAGCTCCATAGGACAGATAGTTTTTGAGATATCTGCGCTCAAAGTCAGTTTTACGCTTTTATTGCCAATAGGAGCACTCCGATAGGCTACTACGTCTCCATTTTCCGAAATTGACCAATTTCTACCACAGATTCGTTCATTTTGACATCGAATCGGTCTATTTAATTTTTTTCAGTTTTAAAAATTTTCATTTTCCCACCTAAGACTTCAGTACGATATAGTCACCAAGCCATCTTCGGACGGCCGAAAGTGCCAGAAAACGGCGATAATCCACGCGAATTATCGCTTTTCCAGTAGAAAATGACACGCTGAATCGAATGAGACTATAATCAGCCCAATAGGACAGATAGTTTTTGAGATATCTGCGCTCAAAGTCAGTTTTACGCTTTTAATGCCAATAGGAGCACTCCCGTAGTGTGCTACGTCGCCATTTTCCAAAATTTCCCAATTTCCACCACAAATTCGTTCATTTCGACATTGAATCAGTCTATGTGAATTTTTACACATTTCTAATCGGCCAAATAAAAATTTTCATTTTCCCACCTAAGACTTCAGTACGATATAGTCACCGAGCCATCTTCGGGACGGCCGAAAGTGCCAGAAAACGGCGATAATCCACGCGAATTATCGCTTTTCCAGTAGAAAATGACACGCTGAATCGAATGAGACTATAATCAGCCCAATAGGACAGATAGTTTTTGAGATATCTGCGCTCAAAGTCAGTTTTACGCTTTTTAATGCCAATAGGAGCACTCCCGTAGTGTGCTACGTCGCCATTTTCCAAAATTTCCCAATTTCCACCACAAATTCGTTCATTTCGACATTGAATTAGTCTATGTGAATTTTTTCACATTTCTAATCGGCCAAATGAAAATTTTCATTTTCCCACCTAAGACTTCAGTACGATATAGTCACCGAGCCAATTTCGGACGGCCGAAAGTGCCAGAAAACGGCGAAAATCCACGAGAATTATCGCCTTTCCAGTAGAAAATGACACGCTGAATCGAATGAGACCATAATCAGCTCCATAGGACAGATAGTTTTTGAGATATCTGCGCTCAAAGTCAGTTTTACGCTTTTATTGCCAATAGGAGCACTCCGATAGGCTACTACGTCTCCGTTTTCCAAAATTTCCCAATTTCCACCACAAATTCGTTCATTTCGACATTGAATCAGTCTATGTGAATTTTTTCAGATTTCTAATCGGCCAAATACAAATTTTCTTTTCCCACCTAAGACTTCAGTACGATATAGTCACCAAGCCATCTTCGGACGGCCGAAAGTGCCAGAAAACGGCGATAATCCACGCGAATTATCACTTTTCCAATAGAAAATGACACGCTGAATCGAATGGGACTATAATCAGCCCAATAGGACAGATAGTTTTTGAGATATCTGCGCTCAAAGTCAGTTTTTCGCTTTTCATGCCAATAGGAGCACTCCCGTAGTGTGCTACGTCGCCATTTTCCAAAATTTCCCAATTTCCACCACAAATTCGTTCATTTCGACATTGAATTAGTCTATGTGAATTTTTTCACATTTCTAATCGGCCAAATAAAAATTTTCATTTTCCCACCTAAGACTTCAGTACGATATAGTCACCGGGCCATCTTCGGACGACCGGAAGTGCCAGAAAACGGCGAAAATCCACGCGAATTATCACTTTTCCAATAGAAAATGACACGCTGAATCGAATGAGACTATAATCAGCCCAATAGGACAGATAGTTTTTGAGATATCTGCGCTCAAAGTCAGTTTTTCGCTTTTCATGCCAATAGGAGCACTCCCGTAGTGTGCTACGTCGCCATTTTCCAAAATTTCCCAATTTCCACCACAAATTCGTTCATTTCGACATTGAATTAGTCTATGTGAATTTTTTCACATTTCTAATCGGCAAATAAAAATTTTCATTTTCCCACCTAAGACTTCAGTACGATATAGTCACCGGGCCATCTTCGGACGACCGGAAGTGCCAGAAAACGGCGAAAATCCACGCGAATTATCGCTTTTCCAGTAGAAAATGACACGCTGAATCGAATGAGACCATAATCAGCTCCATAGGACAGATAGTTTTTGAGATATCTGCGCTCAAAGTCAGTTTTACGCTTTTATTGCCAATAGGAGCACTCCGATAGGCTACTACGTCTCCATTTTCCAAAATTTCCCAATTTCCACCACAAATTCGTTCATTTCGACATTGAATTAGTCTATGTGAATTTTTTTCAGATTTCTAATCGGCCAAATACAAATTTTCATTTTCCCACCTAAGACTTCAGTACGATATAGTCACCAAGCCATCTTCGGACGGCCGAAAGTGCCAGAAAACGGCGAAAATCCACGCGAATTATCGCTTTTCCAGTAGAAAATGACACGCTGAATCGAATGAGACCATAATCAGCTCCATAGGACATATAGTTTTTGAGATATCTGCGCTCAAAGTCAGTTTTACGCTTTTTTGCCAATAGAAGCACTCCGGTAGGCTACTACATCTCCATTTTCCAAAATTTCCCAATTTTCACCACAGATTCGTTCATTTTGACATCGAATTAGTCTATGTGAATTTCTTCAGATTTTTAATAGGCCAAATAAAAATTTTTCATTTTCCCACCTAAGACTTCAGTACGATATAGTCACCGAGCCATCTTCGGACGGCCGAAAGTGCCAGAAAACGGCGAAAATCCACGCGAATTATCGCTTTTCCAGTAGAAAATGACACGCTGAATCGAATGAGACCATAATCAGCTCCATAGGACAGATAGTTTTTGAGATATCTGCGCTCAAAGTCAGTTTTACGCTTTTATTGCCAATAGGAGCACTCCGATAGGCTACTACGTCTCCATTTTCCGAAATTGACCAATTTCTACCACAGATTCGTTCATTTTGACATCGAATCGGTCTATTTAATTTTTTTCAGTTTTAAAAATTTTCATTTTCCCACCTAAGACTTCAGTACGATATAGTCACCAAGCCATCTTCGGACGGCCGAAAGTGCCAGAAAACGGCGATAATCCACGCGAATTATCGCTTTTCCAGTAGAAAATGACACGCTGAATCGAATGAGACTATAATCAGCCCAATAGGACAGATAGTTTTTGAGATATCTGCGCTCAAAGTCAGTTTTACGCTTTTAATGCCAATAGGAGCACTCCCGTAGTGTGCTACGTCGCCATTTTCCAAAATTTCCCAATTTCCACCACAAATTCGTTCATTTCGACATTGAATCAGTCTATGTGAATTTTTTCACATTTCTAATCGGCCAAATAAAAATTTTCATTTTCCCACCTAAGACTTCAGTACGATATAGTCACCGAGCCATCTTCGGACGGCCGAAAGTGCCAGAAAACGGCGATAATCCACGCGAATTATCGCTTTTCCAGTAGAAAATGACACGCTGAATCGAATGAGACTATAATCAGCCCAATAGGACAGATAGTTTTTGAGATATCTGCGCTCAAAGTCAGTTTTACGCTTTTAATGCCAATAGGAGCACTCCCGTAGTGTGCTACGTCGCCATTTTCCAAAATTTCCCAATTTCCACCACAAATTCGTTCATTTCGACATTGAATTAGTCTATGTGAATTTTTTCACATTTCTAATCGGCCAAATGAAAATTTTCATTTTCCCACCTAAGACTTCAGTACGATATAGTCACCGAGCCAATTTCGGACGGCCGAAAGTGCCAGAAAACGGCGAAAATCAACGCGAATTATCGCCTTTCCAGTAGAAAATGACACGCTGAATCGAATGAGACCATAATCAGCTCCATAGGACAGATAGTTTTTGAGATATCTGCGCTCAAAGTCAGTTTTACGCTTTTATTGCCAATAGGAGCACTCCGATAGGCTACTACGTCTCCATTTTCCAAAATTTCCCAATTTCCACCACAAATTCGTTCATTTCGACATTGAATCAGTCTATGTGAATTTTTTCAGATTTCTAATCGGCCAAATACAAATTTTCATTTTCCCACCTAAGACTTCAGTACGATATAGTCACCGAGCCATCTTCGGACGGCCGAAAGTGCCAGAAAACGGCGATAATCCACGCGAATTATCACTTTTCCAATAGAAAATGACACGCTGAATCGAATGAGACTATAATCAGCCCAATAGGACAGATAGTTTTTGAGATATCTGCGCTCAAAGTCAGTTTTACGCTTTTAATGCCAATAGGAGCACTCCCGTAGTGTGCTACGTCGCCATTTTCCAAAATTTCCCAATTTCCACCACAAATTCGTTCATTTCGACATTGAATTAGTCTATGTGAATTTTTTCACATTTCTAATCGGCCAAATAAAAATTTTCATTTTCCCACCTAAGACTTCAGTACGATATAGTCACCGAGCCAATTTCGGACGGCCGAAAGTGCCAGAAAACGGCGAAAATCCACGCGAATTATCGCTTTCCAGTAGAAAATGACACGCTGAATCGAATGAGACCATAATCAGCTCCATAGGACAGATAGTTTTTGAGATATCTGCGCTCAAAGTCAGTTTTACGCTTTTATTGCCAATAGGAGCACTCCGATAGGCTACTACGTCTCCATTTTCCAAAATTTCCCAATTTCCACCACAAATTCGTTCATTTCGACATTGAATTAGTCTATGTGAATTTTTTCACATTTCTAATCGGCCAAATAAAAATTTTCATTTTCCCACCTAAGACTTCAGTACGATATAGTCACCGAGCCAATTTCGGACGGCCGAAAGTGCCAGAAAACGGCGAAAATCCACGCGAATTATCGCTTTTCCAATAGAAAATGACACGCTGAATCGAATGAGACTATAATCAGCCCAATAGGACAGATAGTTTTTGAGATATCTGCGCTCAAAGTCAGTTTTACGCTTTTTTGCCAATAGGAGCACTCCGGTAGGCTACTACGTCTCCATTTTCCGAAATTTACCAATTTTCACCACAGATTCGTTTATTTCGGCATCGAATTAGTCTATGTGAATTTCTTCAGATTTTTAATAGGCCTAATAAAAATTTTCATTTTCCCACCTAAGACTTCAGTACGATATAGTCACCGAGCCATCTTCGGACGGCCGAAAGTGCCAGAAAACGGCGAAAATCCACGCGAATTATCGCTTTTTCAGTAGAAAATGACACGCTGAGTCGAATGAGACCATAATCAGCTCCATAGGACAGATAATTTTTGAGATATTTGCGCTCAAAGTCAGTTTTTTGCTTTTATTGCCAATAGGAGCATTCCGGTAGGCTACTACGTCTCCATTTTCCAGAATTTCCTGATTTCCACCACAGATTCGTTCATTTCGACATTGAATTAGTCTATGTGATTTTTTTCAGATTTCTAATCGGCCAAATAAAAATTTTCATTTTCCCACCTAAGACTTCAGTACGATATAGTCACCGAGCCATCTTCGGACGGCCGAAAGTGCCAGAAAACGGCGAAAATCCACGCGAATTATCGCTTTTCCAGTAGAAAATGACACGCTGAATCGAATGAGACCATAATCAGCTCCAGAGGACAGATAGTTTTTGAGATATCTGCGCTCAAAGTCAGTTTTACGCTTTTTTGCCAATAGGAGCACTCCGGTAGGCTACTACGTCTCCATTTTCCGAAATTTACCAATTTTCACCACAGATTCGTTTATTTCGGCATCGAATTAGTCTATGTGAATTTTTTCAGATTATTAATCGGCCAAATAAAAATTTTCATTTTCCCACCTATGACTTCAGTACGATATAGTCACCGAGCCATCTTCGGACGGCCGAAAGTGCCAGAAAACGGCGAAAATCCACGCGAATTATCGCTTTTCCAGTAGAAAATGACACGCTGAATCGAATGAGACCATAATCAGCTCCATAGGACAGATAATTTTTGAGATATTTGCGCTCAAAGTCAGTTTTTTGCTTTTATTGCCAATAGGAGCATTCCGGTAGGCTTCTACGTCTCCATTTTCCGAAATTTACCAATTTTCACCACAGATTCGTTTATTTCGGCATCGAATTAGTCTATGTGAATTTCTTCAGATTTTTAATAGGCCTAATAAAAATTTTCATTTTCCCACCTAAGACTTCAGTACGATATAGTCACCGAGCCATCTTCGGACGGCCGAAAGTGCCAGAAAACGGCGAAAATCCACGCGAATTATCGCTTTTCCAGTAGAAAATGACACGCTGAGTCGAATGAGACCATAATCAGCTCCATAGGACGGATAATTTTTGAGATATTTGCGCTCAAAGTCAGTTTTTTGCTTTTATTGCCAATAGGAGCATTCCGGTAGGCTTCTACGTCTCCATTTTCTAGAATTTCCTGATTTCCACCACAGATTCGTTCATTTCGACATTGAATTAGTCTATGTGAATT